GCTCTGGGGCTGAGGCTGCCCGCTCCGTCCTCCGGGCCGGGGCTCGGGGTGTGTGCACGGGAGCGTGTGTGTGAGTGTGTGTGTGTGTGTGGAGGTTCTTTATTGGCCTCGTTCGCGTCGTGTGTGTCGTGTCCCCCCCCGCCTTCTCCACACTCCACCCAGAAATGATCCAGTGAAACTAGGAGGAGGTGATTCTCCTCCTCCCTCCTGCTGCTGCTCCTGCTGGTCTGGAAGGGACTGCAGGAATCTGGCTGTGCTCCGCTCGGAGGCAGGGGCTGGGGTCGGGGGGGAGGTCGTTCTGTGAGGAGAGGGGGCCGCCGGGCTGCAGCTCTGCCGGTGCGCGGCGGGGTGCGTGGGGGGCTGCTCGGTGGCTGACCATGGGGAAGGACCAGGAACTGCTGGAGGCTGCTCGCACTGGGAATGTGGCTCTGGTGGAGAAACTCCTCTCTGGGAGGAAAGGAGGGATCCTGGGCAGTGGATCTGGAGCTATTCCCTTATCCAGCTTACTGAGGTAGGGACATCGTTCCCCGTCAGACCTGGGGATGTTAACCTCCTCTCCCCTATCATCATCATCACCATCGCCCCTCTCATCTTCCTTTCCCTTCCTGCATCCTTCATAGTAACAATAAATCGTTCACTCTCTGGCCAAGTACAAGTGTGCCCGTGTTTAAAGTCACAGGCAGTCATTTTATTAATATAGCGATACTGAATTTCTTGCCTTCAATGCGTCAGTAAGGTACTCGTTCATTCTGTTACTAGCTGTGGTGCAGAACTTAATGTTTTTATTGCTGGGCTAATATGCACAATATACTAATTGTTCGCCCTTTGATATTTCACCTTCAAATCACTACTTTTAATCACAGGTGGAAGCGTTAATCACAGTCAAGGCATTGTATTGTGGAATTTTGTGTAAAAAGCCATAGCTTCACCCCATACCCTCACCCATAGTTGCTACCCTCACTTGCAGAAGAAATTAGGCATGCCGTAGTAATGAGCCTACAAAACAAAGAAAGGGAATCTTTTTTATGAGAGATCATCAAGGCAGAGGAGGTGTAAAACTTACGGAGCAGGTTAGGTAAGAGCAGCGTTACTTTCAAGGTACCTGGATTTAGTGGAGTGAAACTGGGTTACTGGCCATGTTGGGTGAAAGGACTTAACTTTAGTCATTAGTCATATCTCGGGCAATCTACAGCATGGCTTTGATGTTAAGTTTCATTGTGCTCTTAAGTAAGAGCATCATCACAAGCATTTATGACATTTGACAGTATTCGAACAAGAGAAGGTCTGCAGCACACAGTCCAGTGCTACTGTTCAACACTACACTAGGCATAGCAAAAGGAGACTGACTGAAACACTGTTGACCTAGAAATTTAATAAACTGGGGGTTTGTTTTGGTTGGTTGGTTTGGGGTTTTTTGTTGTTTGTTTGTTTTTTCCTGGAAAGAAGGAAAAGGCTTAGAGAAATGGAAATTGCTTAAATAAAAATATATTTGTGATTCTATTGCCAGTACCTCCTCGTCAATATATTATTTCAGTGTTCCCTATCAGAGAAAATTTAGTGTAACTGTCCAAATTACACCTGTTTAAGCTCTATCATAAGGTCTTGTTATTTTAAAGCTGGTTTTGGTGCTGTAAACAACAGTTCAGATATTCATAGTTTGCCAAAGTTCTGTGGTGCCCCAGTTCAATTAGTTATTGCACTATTGTTTAATTACCAGCCCATTGACCAAAATCAAAACACACTGTGCGATTGCTTTCTGTGCTGTGCTTGAATAGGCTGCTTAGCAAGGACTATGCCAGATAATTGGTTGAATTTAAAATATGAGTCGTCTTAAAATGTGATACCCATTTTTTGTAAGTACAGGAGTAAGTTCACTTCAGTGCAATGACTAGCCATTTATAATCCAGTTCTACTGCATGATTTGTGTAGTGACTTTCTGCAGGGCTAGTGCCTGTGCTATATTCTTGCACTGTTACTTTCATGTTGTATATCATAAGTTCTGTATATCCAGAGGGAGTGTATTTGCTTGTGTTTTTCTTTTTTATTATACAGCAGTGTTCTACTTTGTGTATAGAGAACATGTTGACCATGTGTTTTGTATATACAGGTGGATCATGACAGTCATTGTTTTTTACTCAGAATTTAAGTATTTTAGGTTGTAAACTCAACCGTAGTCTTATTTTTTTTCTGGAGGTGCACTTAGCTTAAAGAGAAGTAAAGCAAAGTAAAACATGCACTGTTTTATTTATGATATTTCTTGCTAATGTTATAAAGAAAGGCTATGGCTTCTGTAAATGTAACTTAAAAGTAAAAATTTAGCATACAGCTGCTAAAATATTTCTAATTTTAAAGAAGTCATTTGAAAACATTTAAAAACAATTCAGTTATGGATTGATGCATAAACATTCACAATCTAACACACTATTGAACATAATGATTTTTAGAGGGAATCTCAATAATTTCATTGACTTCACCAGGATTGGTCAAAGTAGAAGCTCCTATGCATTACAGAAAGTGTTTCTAAGAAAGAATTATATGTGCTAGGTATTTTAACATAGCTTTTTTTTGAGAAATTGCATGATCTAACTGATGCCAGTAGTTATAGATTAAGTTCAGAATGACATGCAAGATTAAGGTTGGATCTATCTTGGTACAGAACACATGGAAACAGGAGGAGGTACTGAAAGGAAATCATACTAGCACCTTGATCCTGTTTAGGAAATCAACACTTACTGAAAATAGCAAAGTTGTACAAGAGCCATAATTGTACAGTATAAAAGTTTAAATTTGAGGTGGGCGTGATCTGGAGATTTTTTTCAACAGAAAACCAAGTGAAGTAGCGTACTAGTAGAGCTATGCTAGTATTTTTTGCATACAGTTTATTAGACTAAAAACTGCTTTTGAAAGTTATAATTAACAGAAATCAACAGAAAAAAATATAGGGACATATTTTTCTTCTTTTTATAGAATCTTTAGGAGACATTGTGTTTGACAGTAACTCCTGGTGTTTCATTTATCATAATTATTGCTCAGTTCCTAAAATGGTGCCCCAGAACCGTACCTGTCCTTTTCTGGTGAGAAAGGTCCGTGTCGCCATTCCTTTTCCTTTTCGCAACGCTCTTCCTTAGCATTAGTTGGAAAAGTCCAAGTCTTTCAGCATAGAATGGACTAATACTGTGCCTGATATGTTGGTCTACGTAGCAGCACACTATCCCTTTGGATTTCTTCTAAGTGCGGGAGACAACTCAGTTCATGCGGCTGAACTCTCCGTGGCTTGATGCCTTTTTTTGTGGAAATTTGCTTTGCAGTAATTATGTACCTTGTGAATGGAGTTTAATATTCATGAATTGACAAATGTGCATCGATTGTTATCTGAAACAAGGAACAAACTATCTGAGCTCTGATCTCCTATTTACATTTTTGTAACAATTTTTTTCTGACTCTTGGTGTATTTTATGGCACTTGAGGGAGAAATAGGGCAAGGCTATATATGGTTGTTTTATAGCTGAACCTATTCATTGATGTAATTGCAGAGTAAATTATCTAATTTTTAAAGGGCTGACTTCTAACTTATAAGTCATTATATTAAATTATGACAACAGTTCAGGAAGACAACAGTGTTCCAGAAGGCTATTTAAGCACGCATATAAATATGTGAATGAATTCCTGTGAGGATTTAAACACATGCTTAAAGGAGAGCATGTGCGAAGTGCATAAAAATGATATATGCTTAATTAAGAGGTCATATGCACCCAGATATCTGTAATAGATTCTATGTAAGACCGCATGCCCAAATTGATTCATCTAAAGCAATGACAACAGATCAGTGATGTTTGGGTGGACCGTATAACTTGTTCCAGTTCAGGAGGAGCATTTGAAGGCTCTGGGTCAGTCTGTGGGCCCCTACCTCAACTTCTATACTTTGCTCTGGAATATAAAGATTGTGGCTGAATATACTGACAGTGAATTCCTCAGATGCAAAAGTTAGCATAAGGCATTGCAACATACTAGAGCAAGTATAATCCTCAGTAAACACCCGGCATAGAGTAATTTAGTTGCTTCAACCTAGGTGTTTAGTGGCGTTTTATATGCCCATTAGTTTCTGAGGCACCTGCATGGGCTGATTAACGAAGAACCATGACCTGTGGAGATATATCTACATTCCAGGTGGCATACACTAGGACATCTAAAGCTGTGTTACATGTGCATGTAGGCTACAGTCTCCAACCCAAAAAATTAGTGCAGGGCTGGGATCTGTTCTTTTACTATGAAACAAGGATGTTTTGAGACACCTCGTAAAACATTCAGAGTTTAGAAGACCGAAGTGCAAAGAAAGTTTCTTTTCTCTGTTTCATATATTAAAAAAAAAAAAGGTGGTTTTTAGGTGTGTAGTAGATCGCAAAGAGAATTTTCACAGATTTTTAAATTATTTCACTGACTTTTGTGTTATTCCAGTATAAACTTTAAAACTTGAGAGTGAAATCCCGCAGTCCCTCTAACAGAATGTATCATTCAATTCCTGCATCCCAAATCCCTAAATGTACATTGAATGATTTAACACATAAAAAGAGTAATGTGCTTCTAACAAACCCAGTGTTTTTAGTTTACTTAATTTGATTATCTGAATATACGTAACATGTTTTTATTGACCAACCAGTTTTTCATTGTTGGACAGAGACAGACTTTGTTTCTTTCAAAGTGTTTTAGGAAAAATAGCTTTGAAGGTTTTTGTGTATCTCAGAGACCTTATATAATTTTGCCATGTGCAGTCATGTACATTCCTTTTTGTGTTATAACCGAAAGAAAAATGGGTAGTTCTTTATTAAATGCTAATTTTTAGTCTTTTTAAACTTTCCATGTTAAAAGAGCTTTGGATTTTTAACAGGGCTATGGGATAGGATATGAATTAATGTGAACTGGCAGAGAGTTAGTAGGGAAGGGTGAGTTGGCCCTTTCTTGCTCTTTGTTGGCTCCTGCCATTACACAGCATGGGAGGGCGGAGCAGCCTGCATGGAGCTGGTTTTTTCCCTTCTACACTTGGCAGACTGTGGCAGGGAATGGCTCCATTCTTTCCTTGTCCTTTCTTAGCGCAGCTACACCATGTATAGGCCTGGCCCAAGATATTTTTCCTCTAAAGTATAAGAAACTCAGCAAGCAGATTGTCAGTCTGCAAGTTGCAATCTGTTTCCTCATCTGTTTCTCAGAGCAGTGTCTTGCTCGCAGCAAAGCCACAGTTTAGCCTGATGGCCTCAGTGCATGCTGAGAACCACACAAATCTACTTCTATCCTTGTGCAGAGCCCTGTGATTCATTCAGCTTCCTGCGCGAAATCAGATCACACTTGGATATGGCTTGTAGACCAGAAAGTATTTAAAATACGGAAATACTTTATGAAGCTTTAGTTAAAATTTTAACAAAGTTGTTTTCACGTTATAATTTAAATAACAAATGGATCACCTTATCAACAAAAATAAAGGCACTAGTTCTGTTTTTCATTACAAATAGCGTTGTT